ATTTTATAAAATTGTATAGTGTCTTTTAGGAAGAAGCAAATTTTTACTTTGTTTAATAACAAAATCAGCACTTCTCATCCGTAAAAATCAAAATTAAAAAGCTTTTGTCATTTGAAGTTAGTAAAAATAATGAGGAATGTGAAGCACTCCAAGGACAAAAAATAAATAACAGAAAATACAATTTATATATAAATATGTCTTTCATGCGAAAAACCTCAGTAAGTTTTTCTTATTGGAGAAGTTAATTCAGTTAAAAAATTCCTTAGATATTTTACAATTTTTTTTCAGTTTTCAATATTGTTTATGTCCAGTTATTTACATTTATATTATTTATAAGGGCAATGGATAGAATATGGAAGCAACGGCTTAATAATGCCCAAAAATGTATTAATTTGAATATTATTTACTAAAAATGTCAACTAACTAAAAAAGTAATTAAATTAAATACATTGGAAGGGAAACTAATAGCGTCCACAGATATTCATGACAGATTTTTCGTCTTCAACTAATACTTCTGGAGAAGCAGGAAACCATTATGTTCGATCATTTCAACAAATTTAAGATATACATGAAAGTTCTAAACTTGAAACAAACGAAATACACATAGAATATTCACAAATAGTTGTTGTTGAGTCACTGTTATTTCAGTTTCTCAAAATCATCTGCATACGTGTTCTTAACATATTTTGCTTCTTAGGTGCTTGCAGCTAACAAGCTAGAACACCATAATTATAAGATTTGGTTATTTCCGAAATAACAAGACCTATTCTGGTGCTGGAAGAATAATGCAAAGTAATAACTTTATACTTCGCATAATTAACTGTAAATAGAAATATAATAATGTGAAGAATATATAATTAAGACATTTGCATAAAATTTCGCAAAAGCTCTGAAATAATGTGTTATCGAAAAGATTCAAGCTGGAATTTCAACAGATATTTAAGCCAGTTTATGTAACTTTATATAATATTTTGCGTTTGATGATTGAGCTTAGTTTGTTGCATGTATGGAACTAATTTTCGTAAAAAAACTTAAAATACGCTCTTGGAACTAATAACGGATGTTTACTGACTTTACTGAACTGCAATTTTAATATCGTTCTCAGAGTACTTTGCAACTAAAAAATAAAAAACAAAAACGAAATCAACTAAAAGGAACAAACTATCGTCTATTATTAAACGTTATGCTCAAAGACATACAGGTGAATGAAAAACACCAACTGGTAATACAACTTTTGCATGATACTGCCCAATTAAAATTAATAGTTGTGGTTAGGGTCGAAACTAACTAGCTGCAATTGCATCTGGAAACAATAAAAAGCTGCAAAAACTCTGTCATTCTCACTGCGATGCTGGTGGTCATTTACGAATAACATCACCTAGATTTCAGTTATTAAAGAACTCCCGTCGACCAAGGGTTAATTAGAATGACAAAGAATCCCAAGGTGGTCGTTTTGACCCGGCTAAACGTATAAGGGTGGTGTTTCTAACGACTTTTCCATGCAAAGAAAATATTACAGAACAATAAATTGCATACTCTGGATATTTCGTTCAATTAAAGGTCTTTGGACAGTACACGCTTCCAGAATTTATATCGTCATGACTGAATAGGAGTCAAATTTGAGTTAAATTGTGGCTTATTTGAGTATCAGATCTAAAATATATAAAATGTTCACACTTTTCCCATTTAATTCTCATAAATTGCGATCAAATAAATAAATGAACTAAAAATGAGTTACTTTGATGAGATGCTCAAATGCAGCACACATTCATAATAAGTTTCATCTTTTTTTCATAATATAATGAAATATGGATTGGGTTTAAAGGCACTCAGAGACCAAAGTTAAACGAAACTAATTAACAATTATACTTAAATAAAAGTTGGCTTAAACGTTGTCTTCTTTAAGAGTTGCTACAACCGCTCAAAAAAAAAACTATTAAATATTTTTCCATATAAGTCCAAGTTTCAAAACAACTGAGGTCATTTCGAAAACTCCACGACTTCCTTCATTTCCCATTCCCGATAAAAAGTCTCCGACGCTTTTCTGCTTTTCTTTTCAGAAAGGAGAGCGGGTCCGCTCGGCCCCGACCAATAAGAAAAGCACTACGGGAAAACTGAATTAAAATGAAAAATTAAAACGGAGAATAGCAGTCTTTATTGCGAGAAATTTAAAACAGAATATATTAAGGGTGAAAAATTTACATTATTGCCAAGGGCTCTGTTTTGCTGATGCCTTATTTCTTTATTTCTTTTTCGCTACCCTTCGTGGCGCCTTAAAACCCCCCTATTGCAATAGCTTCGTCATAATTGTATGGATTAATGGTTTGATTTGTTTTTTATATTGAACAAGTGCATAATTTACACACTCGTTATGCACCCGATCTACAGTTTTGAATGTAACTCAGAATAAGAAGCTCGTTGATTCATTTCTACCTTCAGATAAGTTTAGCACTTTTAATAGAATGAAATTGAATATAATTTTTTTTTAATTCTTAATAACAGCAAAATAATTAAAGTTTGCTAAATGAAATTCGATTGCTGGTATAAGCATATCATAAATTTTAATGTTAATATCATGTCAATGTTAAGATATTAAGTATCAAATTTAAAAAAGTATGGTTTAAAAGACTGCAAAACTGCGAGGCTTTAGGGGATTGGAAAAAGAACGTATATAATGATTATCCAGGTTTTGCCAAATATTTTAATGCTATTGTACAATAGTATATTAGCCTAGAGTATTTTTAATGGAATTAAGCGTCCGTATGAGACATTAAATAATTACTTTTGGGTCAATTTTTTTTTACTTATGATATTTTTCTTAAACCATAAATAAATTTTAAGAAATTACTCACCTGACAAGTACATTACATTATTTTTATTTTATTTGCGTTTTTTGAGTTTTGTTAGCAGGAAATGTTTCCTCACATCATCATATCATCACATAATCATGAATGTTACGAGCCTTGAACATAAACAGTAAGAGTTTTTTTTATAAAATGAAAACGAAAGATGCGAAAGTGAGAAAGTCGACTAATCTGTTTTATTTCATAAAGCATTCATTAACAGAACATTTTAATATTTAGAAAAGTGCACGTTCAACTTCACTTTACTAATAAAGTGTTAACTTTTTGCTGAATGTAGAAAACTTTCATTCAACTGATCATTTTATTTCCTATACAGACGCTTAATAAAACAGTAGATACGTTTTAGTGAAGTGCATACAATAAAGTTGCTATGGGACAGAGACGAAGAAATTAGTATTTAAATGGAGAACAATTATTTCAACACCGTCGAAGGTATATATGCTGTATATATACAGATTTTGAGTTGGGCTAATCTCAGGCACCTCAAGGACAGAAACCAACTGGATTGGAACTTAGAAATAACACTTTAGAAATGGTTAAAAATCTCGAACTAGCTATTGGAAAGCATAGAAATAATAAAAAATCTACAATTAACTGTAGGAAAATGTTTAAATAATAAAAATTCTCTTCTTAACTATTAAAAAAATTAGAAGTAGTTAAAAATGTCGTATTAACTGTTGAAAATTAATTAGTTATTGAGAAATTTTAGAAATAACAAAAAATATCGAATTAGCTATTGAAAAATTAAGAAGTAATTAAAAATATCGATTTAACTATTGAAAAATTTAGAAGTAGGTAAAAATTTCAATTTAGCTATTGAAAAATTCAGAAGTAGTTAATAGCCTCGATATAGATAATGAAAAATTTAGAAATGGTAAAAAATCTCGATTTAAGTATGTAACTGTATATTGGCATTTTCCAAACGAAAATTGTGCTTCCGGTAATATTGCCATATTTCGCATATTAATAGTCGGCAGAAATTAAGCTTTCATCAACAAAAAAAGGTAAATACTTTTAATTGTTTTTTTGCAGTGAAATTTGCACTTTAAATAGGGAAAAGCATGCACTTTAAATAGGTAATATTTTTATATTAACTGAGTAAATTGAGATAAGATTTTAAAAGAGCTGGAACTTACTCATTCAGTAATTTTTCTCATTTACTTATGAGGAGATCAAAAATATTCAGCAAAAAAAATTCATACTGAACTAAAATAGAGAAAGAACTACCACAATAAATTATTATAACAACGTATTGTATGAAACACGTTATTTTCCAAATGTTAAAATGTCTTGTCCTGCAAGAGCATTCGAGGTATCTTCTGCAATAAAACGAATAGTCACATTTTCCAAATATTACTTGTTACACATTTTTGACTCAAACCCACAAATGGCAATACAAATTCAGAATTATTAAGGATTCAATAGGAACCGATGTCTCAGGTCCTTCTCTATGCTTTTATTCACTTTCCTTCGACAGTTGACCACTTACATGTTACTAATTTCTACATTGGTTTAATTCAATTCAAACATTTTTCAGAAATACAGAAACGTTTTAGCTGAAATAAAATTAAAGTAATTTCCGCGTCACAATCATCAGCTAGTTCCTTTCTATGCTATCTGAACCGTGAATAACATCTTGAGCACACTGAAGCATAAACGAAATAACATTTCGCCCAAAATATATCGAGGGGCTTACGCGACAACAAGGATCTATATTAATTATCAAAAATCAAACTCTTTAATTAAGAAAATCACCGAAGTACGCCAAATTTATGCAGACTGCTCAAAAAGACTTCGCTCCGCTCTTCCCAAAGAAATTCGGCGATTGATCAAAAAAGAGGGTGGCAAGTCTTATTAAACAGGGGTGCCCAGTTAAAAAATGAAAAGGGTTGTTCGCCTGATTTAAAATGGATGATGTCCCTCGGCGAATCGATAAATATGGCTGACGCGACTGATTTTTAATTATGAAATTATTTTTACTCTGACGGTGCAAAAATCGAGACTGGTCGTGCAGAACTTGAACTTCTTAAGATAAATGAATTTTACTATTAATCAATCTTTCTACAACACTTAGATCCTATAGTATTTCCAAACAAGCAAAAAATTAAATAGTATAACACATTTTATTTATTTCAGATTGGACAGATTACCACAGTCTTAGTACAATGCAAGACAAAACTGAGCAACTAAAGAAGAAATACGCAACAATCGAGGAAGTTAAATTTAAAGCCAGTGTGAACTATTACCAATTTTTATGTCCTTTAAATATAACTTATTGTTTTGTTAAATCAAATCAAACACAACAAATATTTGGATGTCAGCCTAAGATTGCCTAAGATTATGCACCCTGATGCATAAAATTTGAAATAGAAAATAAAGTATTATGCTGAATTGAAATAAACAGTCAAGGTAAAATCGGACTTTAAGGATTTTATTTAATTTGAGTTAAAGCTACTTACAAGTGGTTTTCTAATTTATTTTATTCTATAACTGATGATTTATGTACATTCAGCTCAATACAAAACTTAATGACTATTTTAGGAGAAAGTGCAAATACGTGACTATTGTGTGTATTAATAATTGTTTTAGCTTTAACACTGATCCAAATGATTTCACGTTTATTTGAACGTTTGTATATTGTTATAGATTATTGTAGATTGTAATGCAGGGTAATCAATCTATAAAAGTGGTTTAAAATTGGTAAAATTAAAAACAATACTGTGAAATTCTTACTTAGAATCTTGCGCAGAGATACTGATCTTTTGAGATCTTTAAGAGCCTATAAAACTTGTATTGCCCTAAATCATCTGGTTCATTTATACTACTTGTGTGTATTTAATTATCAAATGTGTATTAAACATAATTTGTTCAAGTTCTTTTATAATCTCCTATTTCTGTAATTCCGATAAATTATTTTTTTGAACTTTGAAACTGTCGTTTTTTCTTTGCACATCCGTTATTTCTTCACTTTTCTATTGTTTTTTAATATGTTCATCCATTAAAGATATAGTAGCTGAACTTACTCATTTGAATCTTTGGATATATCTTTTCATGAAGTAAATATGGTTTATTAAAAAGTCAATTTATATTTGTATTACATCTGTGCCTATTCTTGTGGTGACCTGATTGTTCAAAAGCTCGCAAAGTCAACCCGTCTGGTAACGCTGAATTTATGTCGGCTCGCATTTAACTAAAAGTGACAGTTGGAATTTCTTATGATATCAAAAATAGAGTAAAAAGAAGTACCCAACTAATCGGAGCCCCAGAAAACAATTCCCTCCGTCACCCTTTGAGCGTCGTACTCTCTTTGTCTGAAAATTAAAATATTGCAAATTATAAAACATTTTCGCTGTTAGAAACGGCGCAGCGCCGCATTTCTAATAAAGAATTAGCGAAAATGCTTTTAAAAGATTTCTCCTTTGATGCCGGAATATTTATATTTCTCTTTTAGAAAACGAGCTTGAATGCCTTAAATTAATGTCGGAGAAAAGTCTAAATTGTTTCCAGGGCTCCGTAGCCGTCGTCCTTGGCGAAAGGAACTGATGGCGTTCATAAGTTTGTTAAACGTGAAGTGTTTTGATAAACCGATTTTCGATATGGACTGCTGCAGTATTATCAAATTATTAATTAGCTATTTAGTTGTTTTCGCTCAACTTTTATCAAAGTTTGTTCAAAATCTTTTAATACTTTTATACAGTGGCTTCCGTACTTTATGAATACATATCTAAAAATAACTTTAATACCCAGGCCTGCATACTTATAATTCGTGTAAGATCTTTCAACTCTGAAAGAAATCAGCAATATGTGAATTCCTCCAAAATTAAATTTTGTTGTTTACAATTTAACAATTATTTGTCATTTAAACTGTGTATTTCTTACATTCGAACTTTGCACACATGTGCAATATGTTTTAGTTAATGGAGTAAAAAGTTCAATAATAAAGAAGTTTTGTTAATATTTGTATATTTATTTCCGCAGTCCAGCTCTAATAAAACACAATCTCAGAAACTTAAACACGAAATTAACGGCGTCGAAATTAAATCGCAAATTTATCCGCAAAAATGAGAAGCTAACCCAATAAAAAACTAATTTTAAACTCCTTTCTTCCACGGTTTTAATCAAGGGACTTCAAAAAATTACCTCGTTTCCATATTGAGTGCAAGAAGAGGGAGTAAAAAATTAATGGGATCCCTGTTTTTATTGATTTCCTGGAAATATCGAGACGGAATATTAAAAAGCTTTTCTTATTTTAACTCAGAACGGGCTCGTGGCAAGAAAAAGTAACGGAACAGTAGCGCATTGAGCTTTTTTTCAACTGGACATCAAACATAACGAAATATGTCTACATGCTACTCAGGGTTTTCAGTTGATTATCTTAATTGTTGAACTAATATAGTATAATTTCTGTTGTTTCCAATAAAATATTTATTAATCAGAACGTTTTTTCATGACAGAAAGTAAGAAAGAATTGAACTTTTAGTCGACAAATGTTAGCTATTGAAATGTGAATTTTGTTTGCAATAAAAACTACGTATAAATAATGATATTAATCAATAGAATAGAATCAATCCGAAATAGTTTAAAGACACCTGGTGTGTTTCAGAAGTACGTTTATGTTTTATGCTTCAAACTGTATCACTATATACGATGACTTTTCAATAACTAAATTATTTTGGATTAGTATGAAAATATTCACATGTGTTTTCCTGATTAACAAGACTATTCACATTATAGTACGATTGATTGTCCATAAACTATTTGACTGATTACGGGCTATTATTTTTTAAATAAAGATAATGCTATTTGCAAGTGATTTATTTTTATTCGTCGTAAATTTCGCCACCCAAAGTGGGACAAAGTGTGATTTTTCGGATCTCAACACGAAAAGTTCAAAGATAAACTAAATAGCTTAAAACGAGGTTTGCGTTTTTCCGTCATCTCATATTTATCTCAATAAATCAACTTTTCGTTTTGCAGTGGTAACGTTTCTGCTCTTGGGCCGATTTTCAATATTTTGAGCTCATATTGAACCTAAAACTTAATAAAAATTTAAGACGTCGTATAAAACTCGTTATATCTACAAGGTTGCATTAAAAATTATTTAAAGCAGAATTCTGGAAGCTTTTCCAGAATTATTTGTAAAAATTAAGGAAATTAACTGAAATGTACTGCGAAGTTTCAGCCTAAACGTGAGCCTAAGATTTTATCAATCGGTTCAAAAAAAAAATTATTCCTGCAATACCAAAAGTTGATTTTTTAAGACCACTACGTAAATTAGCTTGAAGAGTCAAAAATGAAAAACATCAGCTTTGCCTGCTTGCTAAAGCTAAAGCAGTTTGGTAAAAATTCGATAATTTATCGCATTTTATTGCGGATTTTAACTGAAATTACAATTTGGGAATACCTCTAGAGCGACAAACAGATAGATAATTGCGGATTAATTATTTGCGGAAAATAGAATTTAAATCAAATTTTTAACGAACCTTTTCATTGGTGGGTGTTTTCTAGCTTGTACGTAGTGCTAGTCTTGACTTTTTTGTGTTAAATAACAGTTGTTTTCAAGCTTTTCTAGTTATTGTATCCTTATGGCAAGGCAAATACTTAGTAATAGTTTAAGTTTACATTCTAATTAGTTTATTATTCTTTAAAATAGCCAAATTACAGTTATAAAAAATTCCTTTGATTGGTGGTATTTTGAACATGTTTTGCCACTTTTTCTTTGTACGGTTACAATTATTTTAAAACAACTTAAATACATTTTTTGTTCAATTGGCGCAATGCAAATAATACCCGCGTCTACTAAATATTCAGTACTCAATAACGGTCTAAATTTTATTATTTTTATTATTATGTCTAAACATATAAATTCAAGTCAAGCACTCAAATAACCTCAGTTTTATAACAACTTTCTTTGAAGTTTATATGCAGTTCAATTTTCCTTTGCTTTATGGCAAAAATCATTTTTTGTAATTATGAATCAGTGCAAATAATCATTAATAATTCATACCAATTACTAAATAACAAACTTTAGTATGTAAGCAATTTGTGAAAGTATGCAATTTCCCACCGCATCTTTCCGCAAAATTTGAAAGTTGGCTTGTACACCATTGAACACCTCTATAACCAAAATTTTTTAAATTAAGTATTTTTTCGATTGGACTTGTCTGCCTAACTCCTAACTGCCTAAAATATGAAGGAGCGGATTTATGAAAGTATTGAAAGTATAAAAACATGCTTCTAAAGAAAGGTAAACATAAACTTACAATCATGCCGTGGTTTTTTATTATTGCATGGTGATAATATTGGATGAATCTCTTAGCTGAGTTATTTTTATTGTTGCCTTTCGTTCTGTTCGAAAATTCTAATAATTTAAAAAATGCTGATATTTATCGGATCAGAACTTAGTTAATATTCACCGGAAATAGGTTTTCCTTCCTGCATTGTGCATTATTTCAGAAAATATTTTCAGTTTACTTTTAAGTTACTCTGCTTATTACGTTTTTGAAGTTCAAATGCAATACTTTTAGTTTTAGACTTTACATATTATGTAAAAATTAGACGTTACTCAGTTTGTCCCATGCTTTCAAGATATCAATTATACCCAGCTTCGAAACACTTTAGTTTTTTCAGACTTTATAGCAAAATTAATCAAACATTCGTCATATGTTTGTTTGTTGCTTATTGCAATTTGTACTTTTAAATATTTCAAATGATAAAAAATGCACAAAGGAGTAACAGTTTGGATTTACTTTCCACATAAACATATCGATAGCGACAGCAAAGCGTAAATAGGTGGTTAGCTTAAAGCATTGACTGAATATACGAAGCTTAATTCGTAAGCATAAACTATAAGTACAGGTTTACTATAGTGTTTGACACGTAGTTAAGAGTCGTCTTTAAGTTCCAAAATGCTATTTAAGTGACTTTTCATAGGCCATAAATTCTAGTCCATTTTAAAAACTAATTATATAATTGATCAACTCTATAAAACAAAATTATACAGTTTCTCTCGATAATACCGGTCCTGGATTGCCGTTTTCCATTGCCCGCCCACCCGTCCGGTCGTCTTCCTCTTTTGTACGATTAATTTCTTTACTTTGCTTTTAAAATGCCATTAATTCTGAGAAGAATTAGAACAAATTGCGAATCGTTTCCAAAGGGCTTAAGAACAGAAACTTTTTACAACTGCACGGGGATTTAATCGAGAGCTACTTCAGTTAAATATTTAGGTTAACAAAACGAAATGCACTGTACTTGTAGTAATATTAATAAAATGCTTACCATTTACAGCTTAGATGCAGAAAGTTATAACTATATTTTTCCAAGGTGTGTAAATTAAAGATCACACAGCTATTTTCAACTATTGCTAAACTACTCGATTATATCCATAATGACAGACATTTTAGAAAAATTGGGAACATAAACGGTGTACTATCAAGTTCTACTCAATTTATAAACCGTTGTATCTACGACAAGAAAAAACTCGTTGAGCCATCAAGTGGGGAATTACCCAAAACTCTATTCGCATAATTCATCACTTGCGCCATCCCATTTTTTTGGGGCTATAATATCCAGGCGACGTCGATAAAAACCAAGATCGTAAAACTTTTGCAACAAACGACGATCGGTCTTAAAAACAGAAGAAGCTGTGCGAAGAAACAAAAGAAAGGGACACTGGGACAAAAGGTAGTTAAGGTTGTATTTTGTTAGGGTGAAACAAAAGAGTAACTGCGGACGGTCGACGTTGGAAAGAAATAAATGAATGTTGTCAGTGGCGTGCTAATCAATCATTACTATTCGTATCACTGATCATTAATAAAACTTCAAAACTTTTCACATTTGCGGACGTTCCAAAACACCATCGAAATGCAGAAAAGCTTGAAGAGAAAAAAAATCACATTTTTCACATTTTTGAGGATGAAATAACATTAGACATCGTCTTTTAAGTTCATATACATCACATGTGAACTCACAAATATAATATGAAAATCGCTAAAAATTCCTACTTTCTACTATTAGAAATAACCTTAATCTCTTCTTGAAAAATTCGAAATAAGCTTTGCATAACTCAACTTCTGGAGGAATTAATTGGCAACTAAAATTAAATCGGTATGATTATCAAGGGCGTCGCACCACTTTGAGGATAACTGAAAAGGCCGTGAAAAGTTACAACTTTAAAATCGAAAAATTAAAGAATTTACCATCGCAACTGATCGAACAATATTAACTAAATTCAACGTGGACCCTTTTAAGCGACACCACTGATTTGCAAGGAGAAGACACGACTCCGTTAAAAAGATATCACAAAAACACTATTTACATTCGCCGCGCTTTTGTTTTCGAGAGAAATAGAGCCTCTTTAAAAGCAGGAAGGGTTGTAATTATTGATACGGATTTTGGATTGTCTCCTGTCTAAGGCGAAAGAAGTCCTTTTTAAGGAAGAAGCATTGTCTCGTGATTGTCAGTTAGATAAGTACCGTCTTTTAACATTTTACTTTCACTTTGTCGTCGGTAATTCGGCATATGTTCATTTGTGTATGATTCGCAATTTCTCTATTCATATTTTGCTTCTGGGTTTAAATTTGTTTGAACTTGCTGATTTTTCAATCGACATTTTATGCAGATTTTTCAATCGATCAGATAAAGATAAAATATGATATAAACACAATATTTGAGTAGATTTTGGTCCCGAAATGACAATGTGATATACGATTGAAATCCACCACCTAAATGCAACCAACCCGGATTAATTAAAACACATTTTTTAATACTTTCTATGGTATGGATGGTATTTATAAAATACATCTCTGGTTGCAGCGAGCTAATCAACGCCTTTCAGACAATCAAAGAATTTTATGCAGACCCTGTATTTATTCTTAATTAAAAACCCCCCAAGTTGAAGCGGAACTGAAAAGAAAGCCTATTTGCGTTTTAAATTATTAGGGGATTCGACGA